CACGAGCCAATCGCGCTCTAGAAGGCAGGCATGCGCGGTCCTCCCCAATAGCCTTTTCAACTGGAAAAGCGGGGTATTGACATCTTTTGAAGCTGCAAAGCACAGTCTTGGATTTCGCTTATCCAGGGGAACCAAGAATCCCAAATGTGTCGTTCTGCCGAGCCGCTGCCTTTAATTAAGGTTACTCGGAGTAGGGAATGAACAAGCTCAAGTTTGTTCAGACATTGTGTGCAAAGCTGTCTGGAGTTTCCTAATTATAGAATGTATAATAGATTTTCTTTGTCTGATTGAATGGTGGGCAGGATGACTTATTAGTGCCTTTTGCCTTAGACTATTTTGGTCCAATCCTCGTAGCCCACACTTCTCGTTTAAGGTATGTGCGTTGTCCATGTAATTGTCTTCTAATCTGTAAAGCTGCATCGACACGCATTGCTTGCCCACGAGGAAATTGTCGACGTGTTATAACTCTTGGTGAGTTTATCTAGTACTGCCTGTTTCATTGTTGATACATCATTTTGAAAATTTCAGGTCATCGGGAACCGCAGGGTAGCGCTATCCGTGCTCCTGCTGGAAGTTGCCGTGTACAATGTGTCCACTGCTCCGAAGTGTTCTTGTTCAACACTCTCAGCAACAGCTTAGCTCATTGCCCACACTGCAAAAAGAAGTTTGTCCGCTTTTGGTTTTTGCCTAATCTTTTTAATCCATTTGTTAAGGTCAACTGTGGGTGGATTTGCTAGACGACGTGCTCTCATCTACCTTGTTACCGCTGTTACAACTCTACTTTTCAGCGTGCTTCTGACTGTTATGACGATAAATACTGTGAGTTGACAAATCCAATTCGTTATTGCTTTCGGTCATTTCCTCTTTATGCATTTTGAAGGCCGCTCATCATCCTGTCGTTTACGGAGCTTGGGCTCTTGCCTACCTTGTGGTCATCTATCTCCTGTACAATTTCTTCAAATATTGGATGGTGAAGCTGAGTATCGTACTTGGACCGATATAGAAATTAAGTTTTGTATGAGTATCATGTATGAGGCTGGAAACTGTCCTTTTTCTTAGCTTTCTGTGATTAATTACAGAAAGCA